TCTAAAAGAAATAATCCACAATGCTTTTCAATATAACAATGGTAGCATACGCTATAAATTTATTACTTTGGGATATCATACGGCATATTTTGTTAATAGTGAACAAAAAGATAAAACATGCTACACAGATGAACAAGTGATCAGTACGCTGGAGTTTCTTATTGACAACATATATGTTGAATTTGGAGATAGACTTCATTAGACCATTCAGATATACTGATAATGTTTTTTCCATTAACAATTCAAACTTTTCTGATTGGGATCCATTAATATATCCTCCAGAACTAGAAATTAAAGAAACAAAAGACACGGCTTCTTCTGCCTCATTTTTAGACTTATACATCGAATTTGACATAAGCGGTTATCTCAGTACCAGAATCTATGACAAAATAGACGATTTTAATTTTGAAATTATCAATTTCCCCAACCTTAGTAGCAATATACCAACTTCACCTGCATATGGGATATACATTTCTCAACTCATTCGGTATTCAAGAGCTTGCAGCTGCTTCTCAGACTTCATAAAACGTCACCAGTGTCTAAGAAGAAGGGTGCTGAACCAGGGTTATGTCAAAGAACGTCTTGTCCTTTTTCTAAAAATAAGTTCATTGGAAGATACCTAGACATAATTGATAAATATTCCGTATCAACTTCACAAATAATACATGATGGTCTTGAAGTATAGATTCTATATACTGACGTTGTTTATCATCTTAATTACGTGTTATCGTGTTCTTTTATTTGTCTTTGTAAAATTATTAACCTTTACTGTTTAGTCCATTTTTGGTAATATCCTTTTGGCGTGGCTCGGTACTTATGCATCCCGCCATTGTGTTGTTGTGCTGTGGTCATTTGTTGTATTCTTGTCTTTCATTTTTGCTCATCTGCTTTGGTTATATTCGATTTTGTTTTTCTTTGTTGACATATTTGTTTGTTTTTATAGTGATTTAACTTATAACACAATGTTGACTGCTGTGCCCCTATTTTTGACATTTTTACCTATTATGTCTTTTTGTTTTGTTCACACATTGTTGTCAATATGATGGAATTTTATGCGACTGTCATACAAGTAAGATGTTCAGCTGTCTATAAAACCAGTTTTAATCCATAATTTTCTACATAAGGAAATGCCTGTACCAAGTCAGGAATGTAACCGGTTTTTTTTTTCATTCGTTTGATGTGTTTGAGCTTTTGATTTTGCCATTTGATAAGGGACTTTCCGATTTGAATTTTCCTTGGAGTTCGGTATTTTTGTTTTTTTACTTTTTATTTGTTTTCTTAAAGCACGTGTATTGAAATAAAAACAAGTTTATGTTTAATTTGATTGGATAAACAAGTAAGTTATTACCTGTTTAGGTAATATTAATCATGATAATTTCATGCTAGAATTTAAGCGCTAAATTATAGTACAGGTAGTCTAGAATTGTCATTCAAGGTTCGCCTTTTCGACAGTACAGTATTGTTTCTTGAAGTAGTCAACTCGTAATGTCTAAATCGTCTACACGTCTAGATTTGAATGAAGACCTACTCCTTGCAGGAGATTTTCAACAAGCTGAGGTTTCTACAGCAGCTGAAAGGTCGTCTGATTTGGCCGATAATGTAGAGCTCTTCAAGACCATCTTAGATAACAAATATGGAGAATTTAAGTCGAACTCATCCAATACCAGGACAGCCTTAAAAGAAAGATTATAAAAGACGTCTCCTTAAAATTCAAGGGTAAAGGTAATAGAAAACAACACTTATTTAACAAAACTGTATAAATTCATTCCATCCTCAAATACACAAGCCGGTATATTAGTTAATGACATTATAGACCAGCTTTAAGGGCGTAACAAGAAAATGCATATTGCTGATTCTTCCCCTGCTGGGTGGGGATCCGTAAGGGAATACGAAGCAAATGCCGTGGCATCAGATTCTTAGGACGTGAAGAAGATACGTCAAGCTGAGACCAGAGCTATCCGTTCCAATTAAGTAAAGTTAAAATCTCGCCGGCAACCTTACCTTAAGAATCCGCCTCGTTAACAACCTGCAAAATCTTAAGGTAACCCTGATTATGCACAGCATTTCTAACGCTCTCCGCAGCCGCTTTTTTATGGGAGCTTCGCAAGGCGTGAGCCTTGCTCACGCGACATGTGCCTACACTGCAAGCAGCAAGGTCACTGGAGAAAGAACTGTCCTCTCCTTGCCAGCTAAGATCATCCTACCAGAAGTCACCTTAATGTAGAGCCTGCACTTCAATCTTCAGTCGTTGTCAATGATAAGTTTTTAAATAAGGACATATTTTCAGTCTGTTTTCATTATAACGATCATGTAGAATCTTTTCTAGAACAAGTTTTTTTTTGGAAAATTGGCAGTCATACGATAAATTAACAGGAGTGAAAGGTAGATTAGCTTTCATGTAAAGTATTGGGAATCAATAGGTGCTTGTCCTTTTGTGTTTGATACTATCAAAAACGGGTATGTCATCCCCTTTATAGGTATTATTTTTAATATGTACCATAAAAATAATAGATCAGCACGGTAGAATACTGAATAAAGGCAACAGTAGTATACCGCTGTTCAAAACTCATAAATCGATAGAGATAAAAACAAATCCGGGTTACAAACTAAAACTGAAGGAAACGCATCAAATATAAGAGGAGAACAACGACACAACAAAAACACAACATTAAAATGTAACACACACAGAAACGAACTATAATATAACAATGGCCATTTTCCTGACTTAGTACAGGACATTTTAAGAAAAAAATGGTGGGTTGAACCTTGTTTTGTGGCATACAAAACCTCCCGCTTTTATGGCAATGTTAAATATAACATTAAAATGACAACATTACATGACTTGACTACAATACAAATAAATGGGAGAACATATAGGACAAAGAATCACACGAATAATAGCTAACAAAAGGTACTAGGTTTAGAATTTAATACGCCAGACGTGCGTCTCGTCCACACAAGACTAACCAGTGACGCTCAGATGAAAAACATTTGAAAACCAAAACAAGTACAAAGCTAAAGAGCACCGAGAACCAAAACTTCCAAAAAGTTGCGCCTAACACGGCCAGGGTTTTCTGCCTGGGACAAGAACATCCTTATTATTTAGAATAATTTATACTTTTGCAAACAGTAAATTTTATAAAATGACTATATAATAGATATACATGATAAAACCGAAGTGGGGACTAACTACAGAATAAAAACGGATACATTACATAAAACAACTGAATCCAACACATAGAAATACACAGCCGAGTTAGCCAAAGCCTCAACACACAAAGTGACGTCACATTTAAAATTCTAAAAAAACACACAAAGTGACGTCACATTTGAATTTGTAAAAATATTTCCCAAAAATAAGATAGAATTAGGATTGATTCAAGATTAGATCTGTAAAACTGACATTACATTTATTAATAACAATGAAAATTACAATACTATTAATATCAAATTGTGGTAGTAATTAGATAATTAATTGTATTATCTAGCTATGTCGGTGTTTCTTCTGAATCAAACTGTAAACCAAATATATCGTATAAATTTCGTTGAACCAAACTAAAATCTAATAAAGGAAGGGGTTGATTAATTATCTTTACCATAACACACGAATATAACAGAAAAGACGTTAAGACATTTGACAAAATCCGACGAGAATAACAAATATAATATCAAAATTAAATACATGAATTTGGGATAGAAAAGTACCGTGACACGTCTTATAGCAATGCGGTTTCACACTCAGCAAAATAGTCACAATCGGGAATAAGTCACGTTCGGTAATTAAAAGATCAGACGACGTAATGACAAACCACAATCTAACACGTGGTAAAAATGTTTGTCACAAAATCAATAGAAGATTTAGTTCAAATTGGTTGCGTAATAAAAGTGCCTTTCCAACCATATGTGGTAAATCCATTGAGTGTAGCTACTCAAAAGTACGGCAAGAAACGAGTTATTTTAGATATGAGTCAATTGAATAAACACATTAAGCGCGAAAAAAAAATCGAGGACTGGAAGATAGCTATACAATATTTAAAAAAAAATATGTGTCTGTTTAAATATGACCTTAAGTCTGGTTATTTTCACATCGACATCTGTCCACAGCAGCAGCCTTTCTTAGGTTTTCAATGGGAAGGTAAATTTATTATTATACCGTTTAATCCTTCGGAATTACTACTGGTCCGTACATTTCTACCAAATGTTTAAGGCCACTAGTAAAATTTTGACGCAAAAATTGGATAAAAGTTGTTTTGTAATTAGATTATAGATTTGGTATGAGCCCAGATGAAAATACATGTAATGAGCAATCGTTCTTCGTCAAAAGATCTTTGGTTGATGCTGGTTTCCTTATAAATGACGAGAAGTCGGTATTCAAACATGTTACATGTACTAAGTTATAATGTTTGGAAATAGTATGGAACTCAAAAGAATACTATTTGTCTATTACTCAACGTAGAGTTGACGATTTATTTTCCTCGTTAAATGTCATTTTGGATAATTTATCTTATATTACAGCTAGATCTTTAGCTCAGTTCGTGGACAGAATCATTTCTATGAATCCCGTCATCGGTAATGTGGCTAGAATCATGTCCAAATTTTGTTACATGAAGATTGAAAGTAGAATCTGGTAGGATAACCCCATTTCAGGATACAAACCATTAAAAGTTTTATTTGAGTTGGTTCTGGTTAGAAAATATCAATTGTCGTAAATTAGGTCATTACAGTAAATCGTCTGCTGTTATGTACTTAAATGCAAGTAATATTGCCGCTGGTGCATATACAGTTAGAGTTAGAAAACAATTTTCCATAAGATGTGGACATGAAGTGAAATGGCACAAAGTTCTACTTGGAGAGAGCTTAAAGCAATAGAGTTAGCACTTTTTTTATTTTAAAAATTGTTTCACGGGAAAAACTATAAAGTAGTTTATTGACAATCAAAATTGCGTCAAAATTGTTAATTCCTAAAGTATGAAAGCAAATCTTCACATTATAGCAAAACCGATTTTTTTTTTTTTTTTTTTTTGCATTCAGAAAGGAATATCAATTGATATGTAATGGTGTCCCAGAAAAAAAATGGAAAAGCTGATTTTATTAGTAAAATGGTTGATTTTGAGAACTGGGGAGTCACACACATATTTTTCAATTTTTTAAGTCAAATATAGGGTCCTTATTCGATTGACAGATTTGCTAGTGTTGAAAACAGAAAAGTTTCGAAATTTAATTCTTTATTTTGGCAACCTGAATCTGAAGCAGCAGATGCGTTTTCTCAAGTTTGGATCAATGAAAATAATTGGTTGGTTTCACCAATTAATCTTTTGATTAGATCTATTAAACATATAATAGTTTGTAAAGCTAAAGGCACGTTCGTTGTGCCTACGTGGACTTCGGCTGCATTCTGGCCATTGATATTCTATTAACATTTGATTTACCAAGATTACGTAAATGGTGTAATTGTGTTTATGACTACTCATGGTATTTATGAACAAGATTCTAATAAGAATACGATATTCGGAGTTGAACCGTTTGGTTCGCCATTTTTAGCTGTTTTGCTTGATGCGTCTTAGACAAAGCCCTAATATATGTAAAGATATTTTAGCAGGCATGATCTATTTGTGACTTGGCCGTAGTATATCTATATTATATATATTGTACCAGGCATGATTTTTTATGTTGACACGTCCAAAGTGTCCATTATGATATTGTAGCAGGCATGGTCAGTTTCTTCCATTACGTGGCCCTGTATCTACAATGATATTGTAGCTGGCATTGTTATTTTGAATATATTATATTTTATTTTGTGTACATATATTTGAAATATGCGAAAAAAAATTCTTTGTATATATATTTAAAATAATATTGCAATTTCACGATTTTCAGATATTTTTTTAGTGGGACAATCGTCAGAGTTTAATTTTCAAGTCGCCTCTAATAATGATCTTAGCAGTTTGTACAACAAGTAACAGGAAATCTTTCTTTCATCCAAGGCTGAGAGTACTCAGAGGAAATATAGATATACCTTAATTGATCAATCTTTTTATCATATTAATCAGTGTTGCAGATACAATGTCTTCAATCATATTAAGAACGATTGAAGGTGTCATTTATATCACGGTCACGAATGTTGTTTATATATCAATATCAATAATTTCCCCTTGTTGAAAATAAATTTCATTTTAATTTGAAAAGTTTTGATTTCTTACACTGCCTTTCATTTGGAAATAAAGTTTAATCTAATCTGTGATATAGACATATATCTGTCGTCTGAAAAACCGTTGTTCTAAATTGTCCCTGTACATAATCCTATTGGTATACGTTAATGAATGGTTTTCTTTCTTTGGATCAGTTTTCCTTGAAATATTTGCGGGAGTTTTATTTTCGCGTTTCCACTCTTACCGCGAAAATAGCAAAAATAAAACTGCCACGAAAATTTCCCGGTTTTCAGTGTACACTTCTGAATGTAAATTAAACGTTATGCGATATTTTGAGTTTTTTTAAGGAATAATCTTGTGATTGTTGTTGAATAATAGCATTAAAGGTAACAATTTAACTGCACCAGATGTGCATTTTGATAATAAATGTCTCATCATAAATGCTCGAAATCTAAATATGAAAAATCTAATACAAACGTTGAAGTGCTGAAAGGACAACAAGGACCAAAATTATTGCCAGACAGGGCGAAGAATCAGTGCTACGCATCTTTTCTTTTCGATATAAAACGTTTCGGAAATATTGAACTGTTTATCAAGACTTATCTTTTATCAAGCGTGGGGCGAAAAAGGTTGTCCCTTTATATTTGTAATTAATTGTTTATGAGCAAACAAACCTTTGCCATCGTGTAGAATGGTATGGGTCAACAATCGTAATCTTTTGTATTTTTTAATGCAAAGCTGCTACTTATTGTACAAGAGCAATCCTTTTAATTCATTTTTAATGCACAACAAAACTGATTTGTTTTATTTTAACATGTAATTGAAATTTCTTTTTTAAAGAAGAATGTTAAGATAATTTCCCGTGACTTTAAATTTCACATAAATCGCATTTATAAACTTAACATCTAATACATATAATTACTTTCACTTGTAAAGAACTGGCGTAGTTTGGTTTCTGATGGAGAGTTGTCTCATTTGCAATTATATTACATTTTCTTATTGTTACATTGACGGCAATTATCAAGACGTCAATTTATATAAGTGTGACAAACTGTCATAAAAAAGAGGCGAAAGATACCAAAGGGATTTTCAAACTCTTAAGTCGAAAATAGACTGGATTGAGTGGTTGTCGCTTAACGCTGTTTCTCATTTCTGTTTTTCGTTTAGTGTTTTTTAGTTTGTTCTTGTATGTGCCTATCCCAGGTCAGGAGCCTTTAATTTAGTGGTTGTTGTTTACCGCTGTATATCATATTTGTTTTCGTTCCTTATTTTTTACACAAACCAGGCCGCTAGTTTTCCCGTTTGAATTGTTTACATTTGTCATTTCTGTTCTTTTATAGCTGACTATGTGGAATGGGTTTTGCTCATTGTTGAAGACCATACGGTAACCTAGAGTTGTTAACTTTATATGTCATTTGATCTCTGATGGAGAGTTGTCTCATTGGCAATTACATCACATCTTCTTATTTTTATATTGACAACGCCATGGCTAAAAAAAAGAAATGACCAAAGAAAATGAACATAATAGAAAAACATAACAAAAAAAACTAAAGACTGATTTTACACGAACCCCACCACAAATCGGGAGTGTTGGTGCGTAGTACTATAAAAATGAGAAGATGTTGTATGATTGTCAATGAAACAACTCTCCACTAGAGAACAAATTACTTTGAAGTATCAAAGTTAATTTCGACAAGTTTCTATGTAAGCACTGTCAATTTTCGGGTATATCATCAAAATGCTGGATTATTTGATCGACAACATATATTTTTGAGTTTATTGGAATGATATTTCAGCAAACAGTCATAGTCCAATTGGTAGGGATAGTGCAACAATTCTGGTAGACTTTTTGTTATACTCATATGAAGCAGCATCCATACCGAACCTTAAAGACAAAAAGAAAAGGCATCTGGCAAAATTCTTTCATTTCATTTTCAGATATATTGATGATGTTCTGTCACTCCATAACCCGTATGTCAATGCGTACTTATATCTCATATATTGCAGCGAACCTAACATTAAGGATGCTACCAAAAGTAGAAGGTCTGCTTCATGTCTTGATCTTTTCCTTGTTTTTGGCAGATAAAAAATCTATGACAAACGTGATGATTTCAACTTCCCATTTTTCAGCAGTAACATGCCCTCTGCTTCATCGTATGGCGTTTACATATCTCAGTTACTACGCTTCGCCCGTGCATGCTCACATTAAACGGACTTCATTAACAGTGGTGTGTTCCTTACACGACAAAAACTGCTCCAACAGAGTTATGAGGAAGAACAATTGAAATCGACAGTACACACGTATACGGTCACCATCACGAATTGATTGACCGATAACATGTGTCGGTATCTCAATTTACTAGCGATATGTTTTTTCGCGGACTAAGATCTTTAGATTTCAGTATAATCGTCATATCTGTAATACAATCGATTGTGTCCTTTTCAAGATTTTGAACTGAGTGAGTTCGCATGGTGGGTGATGCATGCACAACATGGGAATCTTACCCTGTCGCCTTCAGATTCTGTCTGTTAACTCGATTTGTCGCTTTCTAGTCCATTTACGAAATTAAACATCGGTAACCTACTGTCACTTTAATATATCTCTGTATTAAGCTATCACATTCAAAGCAAAAAAATAAATATTTTTTTAATAAAGTCAACTTTTTTCAATCATAATTACGAGAATTCAGTCTATACTTCTTGGGTTTACATGGTAATCCTGATGTTTGAAGACAGGGAAGAAGGACCTTTAATTTTAAAAAATCATATAACTTATTTTGTACATCGTTTTGTTCGTTTATTGACATGATATAATACAAAAAATAACAGCAGATTGTCGAACGCACAAAGATATTAAGCTAATGTCTTTAAACTCGAAATATCATTTTTTAACACTTGGAAATGTTTTGCAAGATATGCCAAAAATACAAAGACTATATACGATAAATTATAAAAAATGACGTGTATTTTCATATTATAATTATATACTTTATAGCAAAACCACAGAATTTAAAAAAAAAAGAAATTGATGCATGTTTTTAATATGGTAGGCAGTCTATTATTCAGAAGACAATTATTAGCAACCAGGATTATTTTCAAGCTTTATCCTGTGAAAATTGTCAAAAAATAATGAGTACATTTATTTGAGATGATATCCTGTTGGTGCCAACTGCAAAATGTAACGCCGTTGTGAAATCGTCAAATGCAATAATTAAATACTGTCAACTTACAAAAATCATTTCAATAGTATTAAATAATTTGTTTTTCCATTGGCCCTAAAATAGGTAATCGGTTAGTCAAAAAGGAGGAAATGCTGAGTTTAACCTGGTTTCATAGCTAGCTAAACCTCCCACTTGTATGACAGTTGTTTATAGTTTCGTTATATTGGCAACATTGGGTAAGCAACACAAAGAGACATAATAGGTTAACCTGACAATAATTGAAATCCAGCAGCTAAAACTGTGTAAACATACATCACAAGTAAATATAAATAAAAGGGTAAACAAAATAGAAACAACACTGTAAAAACACGTTTTGTCCAAAACGGACCTCAGGATAAACCTACACTAGAACTTCCCAAAAGTTAATTAAAAAGATACACATCTTCAGCACCTAGAATCTTTAACTCAAGACCATCTTGTATCATTTGTGAAATAGACAATAAATATTTATCTGTTAGGTCTTTGTACTTTCCGATGAACTTTTTAGGAAAACAAAACGAGACGTTCTTTGACAAAACCTTCGTTCATTATTTGTCTGCTCTGGCGTCGATTACGTTTTACAAAGTCTGAGTAACAGCTGCAACCTCTTGAATATCGTATGAGCTGAGAAATGTATATTTCATACGCGGGTGAACTTAGTATATTGCTGCTTAGGTGAAGAAAATTTGTAATTTCAAAATTGAAATCGTCTCGTTTGTCATAGATTCTGGTTCTGATATGACGACCACTGTTGTCAAATTAGAGGTAAATGTCCATAAATGATGTGTAGGAAGCTTTAGTTTCTTTAATTTCTAGTTCAGGAAGATTACCAATGGGACCCAATCAGAAAAGTTTGGATTGTTAAAAAAAAGAACATCATCAATTTACCTGTATGTGAAATTAAATAATCTAGCGTCTTTGATCTTCTTTGTTTTACAAGTGTCTACCCTAATTTAGCCCGGATGATGTGGTGTCCCTTGGTATTGACGCGGGTCACTTAAGCCATTCGCAGACAATTATAACAGACTTTGGACATAGAAGGGACAGTAATAAAACACGCATTTCTGAAAAAATAAACCATTGTTATCTACAGAGCAGAATAATACATTAACAGAATGTCACAGAACATTAACATCACCAATAAAAAAAAAAAAAAAAAAAAAAAAAAAAAAAAAAAAAAAAAAAAAAAATCACCAATATCTTTGATTTTAACATTGTATGTAATGTATTTCTATTGTAAAAGAAAGTGGTTTGATATTCAATGTTTAAAACATAATGACATGTGTTATCAATAATGGCACCGTAATAATTCCATGTTGGATGTTAAAGACAAGGCTTCGAGTTTAAAACAGGACGTTAAGCAACAAACAATCAATCAATTAAAACTGAACATTTCAGCAATAATTTGTTAAGCTTATGAATAACATTACGTTACAACATTATGTGCAGTCTTTAATATTGAAAAAATTGCGTTCATAAAAACCTTCTACCACTACAACACACACTAACATGAGAATTTTCAACTCCTTCAACTGTTCCTGGTTTAAGTTTTGGTATCGCGGTATTGGTTTGGATATGGTTGCGGCTTATTACTTTTATTGTGAAAATTTCTAAGCACAAACCATTATTTGTCATTCCAATTGATAAACAATGTTTCCTGAATATTGCTAGTATATTTGATTCAACCCAACAGTTTATCTTTAAATTACAAAACCACTTCAGTTTAAAACAAACGGAAACGGTCACAAAAATGGTCACATCCGAAACATATTTTCAAATTGTAAGAAATTGTTCTGATGCATTTTAAAACATGTTCATTCACAACTCACAATATGGTTAGTTTTGCTCAAATTGATTTACCTATTCTTATCTGAATTACCTATTTTTATTTGAATCATTTTGTTTTCAAATATTTGACAATTGGAAGGACTTGTTGGTAAAAGTGTGATCAAATATTCATTCAGAATTTGTCAATATTTTCAACGATTTCCTGGACTTGGCTCCTTTAGCAGACAACCTAATGTCATCTTATTTAACATTGATTCAGCATGTTATTTCTGTTTAAGTTAGTTATTATTTTTTTTATTTTCCTAATGCTTTTCTGCATAAAGTAAACTAAAACTTACAATCCTCAATGATTTCCTCGAACATTTTTACATTAATTGTAAAAAATATGCTTACATATTATATTACAGTCATTTGGAAATACCTAATTAAAAAACCGATGAATCATTATAATTTGTTAAATTTCTGCTTAATATCTCGAAGATTGCCGAGATTTTTCTCCAATTTCAGATCAAAAACAGGTAAGAAATGTATGTTTGCTTTTGTTAGATGTTAGATCTATAATTTAAAATGATACTGAAAAGAAAAAATCATAGAAAATACGGTGTTTTCAAAATTTTATTAGTATATTTGATTCTACGCAACAATTTCTCTTAATTTGTCTTTAAATAACATAGCCAATACATTAATAAATACTCACCATATGCGTGATTTGATGTTTTCTTCTACTTTGTGCAATATAAAGGTATTGAAACGAACATAGAAATTATCATATTCCTAACAAATTTTCAAAATATAAATTTTTTAAAGCATTTTAAAGATTTTCAACCACTCACTATACAGTTGACCTTGCTGAAATGAATTTTCAAATGTTTGTTTGAAACTTCTTGTTTACATATTTTCTGACGATCAATTCGGAGGACCTGTTGGTTGGTGATCTGAACCCTTTCCATTCAGATTTGAGTTCATATTTTAGACAATTTGCGACACTTGTCTTGTATTGCACTCCTATAAAATGATATCTGATAAAGCATGGATTCAGCATGATATTTTATTGTCCGGTAGTTTATTTTGATCTTTTTATTTTAAATATGCTTTTCAACAAAATATTATCCACAACTTGCAGTGCAGCTATATTTGTGCAAACAATTTTACCATTTATTGTCTGAAAATACAAGTAAAATTATAAAATATATTTGAGGGTCCATCAGAAATACCTCTGAGTAAAAGCTCTGAACAATTTTCGATCAAAAACTAATAAAACATGTTGCTTTTTCGTGAAATCCATGTCACACGTACAAAATACTCAAAAAGCAAACAAATTCTTGTCGTTTAGGTTTACAATATGGAATTTTTTCAACATATGATAAGTATATTTGAAATACTTGTTGATAAAACCGCTGAATAATTTGTCATTCCGTTTCTGTCAATTATTTTTGGTCATTATTGTTAACCGAGTTCTGAAGATTTTCTCGGGTGCAGATGATCAAAACCTTGTATAGTATGTTTAATTGTTTTTGCGTTTTATTTGTTTCATACGTTAAAATACATTTCACAAGACACTTAATTTTGCTAAAATGGATTTACAAATATATGTTTGCAAATTCTTGTTGATAAAACCGCTGAATAATTTGTCATTCCGTTTCTGTCAATTATTTTTGGTCATTATTGTTAACCGAGTTCTGAAGATTTTCTCGGGTGCAGATGATCAAAACCTTGTATAGTATGTTTAATTGCTTTTGCGTTTTATTTGTTTCATACGTTAAAATACATTTCACAAGACACTTAATTTTGCTAAAATGGATTTACAAATATATGTTTGCAAATTCTTGTTAACATATTTTTAGACGTTTATTCAGGGGACCTGTTGTTTAAAGAAATCTGTAAGCTACAACTTCTAATGCAGCTTTATATGCCTAAATATTTTTCCCATATATTGTTTAAAAAATGCAGGTTAACATATTTTTTGCGGTTAGTCAAAAATACCTGTTCTTAAAAGCGGCCAACAAATTGTCGTTCCGTTTCTGTCAATTATTTTGGGTTACATTTTTTAAACAATTTCTGAAGTTTCTTCGAATTGCAATAACAAAATGTGATAGTATGTTGAACTGCTTTTCCATTTTATATGTTTTTGTAACGTTAAAATAAAACAGTTAGTTTTGCTAAAATATATTTACAAATTTGTGCTTGAAAATTGTTGTTTACACATTTCTGACAGTCAATTTGAAGGATCTGTTGCTTTTCAACACAATGCAAGCCACAACTTCCATTGCTGCTAGATTTGCTCAATTATGTTGCCATTTTATGCGTTCAGTCGGAGATACATTTTGATAGAAGCGCTGAACAATTCGTCGTTGCGTTTCGGTCAATTATTTTTTGGTCATTATTTTTACCCGATTTATGAAGTTTTACGATAAAAAAACAACTCACAAGAGAGTGATTTTTAATTGATTTACCAATTTTGTCTGAAATTTACATATTTATTGAGTTCAATTCAGGGGACCTGTTGTTTAAAAAAATCTGTAAGCTAAAGCTTCAAATCCAGCTATATTTTCTCAAATATTTTTTCTGCTTATAATGTTTTAAAAATGCAGGTTTAAATATTTTTTGTGGTTAGTCGGAAATACCTGTTCCTGTTTTTGTTAATAGTTTTCTCATTTATTTTCTGAAAAATACAGGTTCAAATATGTTTATCTGAAAAGTCTTGCAATCCTCATTGAATCGTAACTGTGCACGATTACAAGCCTCACTTTCAATTTTGCTACATGAGAGGACGCATTGCCTACCTCCAAGGTAAATTTTTTTTTTTTTTTTTTGATCGGAACATGATGTGTTCCCCTTTTTGGGACTAAATGAGTATCGCTTATGACGTAAGCGATTATCAAAGGCTTTGATGAAGTCTTAGTATTAAGTTAGCCTGATTGGCATTTGCGATTGACAATTTCTTTGTTTGGCTGTTACATGTGGTCTGATTTATTTAAAATGTTGGCTTTAATTTTCGATTACCGTTATATTTTTTACTCGTTACTATGTTATGTCTATTCTAAATTGGGATTGATCTATTCCTTAGAAGACACTTATCAAATTTTCTTGTGTTTGTTGCTACCCCTTTTGTTTCGGGTGCTTAAAAAGAAGCATGATTTGAAGCCAGTTACCAATATGGGTCTGAAGCTCCTTAAGAAGTTTACGGATATAAGAACTCCCCCAAGTCAAAGCTGAGGAATGTAAAATCCCTAGTTCGTACGGAGGATTTATCAAACGATGAATGTAAACGTCAATTAACATGTATCACGGGGGAGGATATATTCTGTTTATATTTGTCGTTATTTTCTCCGTCTCGTTCTTTCTCTTGGGTAAAAATAATATATGATTTAAATGGAAATGAATGCAATTGTAATTAAAATTTTGATCGATTTAAAAAGTAGATATAGTTTTCGATGTTTTTAAAGGTTACATTCTCGGCTTTGTTCTTGATTTTTCTAACAATAACGATATTTCCCCCTTGAGGTTTGTTATGATTAAACACGCTTAGTATATTCACAAATGCAGATGACAGTTATTAATGTTTTAATAGAGATTTCCAATAAAATGACATACGTACGTAACTCGACGTACGGACCTAATGGGACCGGTTATTGCCAACATTCAAATTGATTAAATACGTCGCTCAAGTTTAAACAAAGTATTCCAAGACTCTTAAAATCATATTCTGGATTTTTCGTTTATATTGAATAATTTTAACATGGTGAAAAATTGGAGAAATCGTGCATTTTTATTTATCACGTGGTTCCCTAGATTCCCGCTTTAATTTTCACTGACATAAACACAAGTACCCCTTACCTATCATATGATCAATTTGAGTTATCTATCATGGTTTTGATTATTACAATTATTTTTCAATATACTTTGCAGATGAACGCTCCAATATTCTATATTTTACACGCTTATTTTTTTCTCTCGTTATCCGATGTACTTTCTTTATTTTTCTATTTATTTATATTTTTTGGGTGGAAAACATTTATTAGATAGATGATTTTCTGACAATTTCAGAAATGTCAAAATCAGCGTTTGTCAGAATATCGCTTCCATATAATTTCTAAAAAAAGTATTTTCTATTTATCATAAAACGTAAAGAAAAAACTCCCTATATAGGTTGTATTTTAAAAGAGGGACGAAGATACCAGAGGGACAGTCAAACTCATAGAGCGAAAACAAACTGACAACGCCATGGCCAAAAATAAAAAGACAAACAGACAAATGATGACACAACATAGAAAACTAAAGACTAAGCAACACGAACCCCACCAAAAACTGGGGTTGATCTCAGGTGCTCCGGAAGGGTAAGCAGATCCTGCTCCACATGTGGCACCCGTCGTGTTGCTCATGTTATTACAAATCCGATAAATAGTCTAATTCGGTAAGTCACATTCGTGAAAAGGGAACGGTATTGTAGTTACGACATAAGGAACATATCCGATATCATCTGTGAAACGGTTATTCCATAACGGTCAACCAACTCGTGATGGCGTCCGTAAAATTTACGAAGGGATGATTTCAACTTAACCATTTGGAACTATTGGTTTAATAGCTTCCTTGTGAGCAGCAATCCTCTATCAAGGAAATAATGATAGGAAACACAAGCCCGGGAATATCGTATCAATTGGGAGATATATACTCCGTATGCTGGCGCTGCTGGAATGTTGCTACATAGAAATGGAAAGTTCACAAATGGGAAGCTGAAATCATACTTTTGTCGTAAAGTTTTGTTTTCAACCGACCCTCGTTGTCAATTTCTAGATGTAAGTAAAAGGTGTGCTCGATTAAGGATTGTTCTGTGTAGTTTTGTTTAACGGGAATGCTATACGAGTCCTTATACAAAATACATTTCCAGGCAAACTATTTTATATCACTTGAAGTACATTAACTTATAGAATTTTATCTATTCTATTGATAAACAATTTATATGGGGTCACCGAATTCGTTTTACTGCATAAATCATTGAAATGAATGTGTTAGGTAAGAAACATAGATTATAAGATTTCGATAAGAAAACGTGTTTTGATCAGGACCCGTCTGCAACTGAATACTGAGAATTAAACTATTCACCAGCAGTTTCATTGAAATGTATGGATTTAATGCGCAAATATATTATTATTTCATGATAAAATTCCACAAATCTAGATTTTTCACAGACAGGATCTTTGTGCCAGTGTGTGACCAAGATTATGGTTGCCTAAACTATCCCCCTTTGGGGAATGAGTGGTTCGTTTAGAGTTGCTGGATGTACCAGTATGTAGTCTATACAAGACCCTATTCAACAGTATATCCCATGCTTAAAAAAGGTGGTCCGTTTGTTTGTCTTGGATGTATAAATACGCAGCCACGCACAGTCTGAATGGGGACGTTCAATCATATATAGGGAAAGAGCAATCATTAGCTATACACGTTACAGAACAAATAAAACAGGAATCCATAGGGGGACTGCTACAAGACTAAATGTCTACCCCTTTTTAACATGCTCTCATTTACTAGTTGCGTTGAAATTCATAATGTTATCCCAGTTTATATATTATTGAATTTTTTTTTCTATTTGTCCTGAATATGCATGCATTTTTTATCACTTGATGTCATACAAGCATTCAATCAATCATCAAACCTGTTTGGAATTCTTTTTTTTTTGCACTTTTAAACTCTGAAAACTATTTTGCGATTCTGATTTGCTATTAACCGTCAACTCCCTATTGACATTTCGGTTTTATAACCAAGTTGAGGCTTTGACTGTCATGATCCAAATTGTTTGCCTCATTAGAAATAAAATTCAAATTAGCTACTGTCGATGCGAGCACGCTTATACAAGATCGGTTATGAATATGCAAGATACACATATACATATAAATATATATATTCAAAACATTTGAAACGAGAATACGTGGCCTTAACACACCGTGTTCCCTCATATTATCACATTTCCATGTTCAGTGAACAACTAAATCCGGGTAAAACTCTAATTTGGTATATAATTTTAAAGGTTTTATAAATGGAATAGGACGGACGCACAGACCAGAAAATATAATATTTCCTTGGTATCATAAGTTGGTCACAAAACGAAAAGGATCATCCTTCTTAACATTACTGCAATCAAATATTATATGCATGTCCGTTTTTCATACGTATTTACATAAGTTAAACTCCAAACATTTTACAAAAACAATTTTTGAGCAATGACGTTAAACGCATATATTTGTACAGACTCTTCCTAGAACACATGTATCATTATAATAAGGACAAGAATTAAAAAAATAACTGATTAAATTTAGGAAAGTGTATGCTTGTTTTTTCATGAAGATGCAGTCCTAATAAATTCCATTTGAAAATATGTACTAGGTGCATCAGTAACCTCAATTTCTACGTCTGAAAAAAAAGTATCTTGAAATGAATTATAGAAGTATGCATAAAAAAGTAATTCATGTACACCTTTTACATTCCGGCGTGTTTGAAACTCCTGATTAACGTCTAACTTATAAATCAAAATAAGAATATCATCTCGCTTCAGATTTCATTATTTTTATTTTTTCAAGCTCAATTTTGATTTAGTCGTTTTAAAAACCCACCCTTTGAGAAATAAATATATAGGTCAAGTGAAATGACGAAGGAATGATCGGTGCATTTGATTGCCGGTAACTGGATTAATTATTCCCTCATAAGTTGTTGTCAATAAAATTATCCCGAATTAATAACAAAATATATAAAGAATTAAAATAGCAGATTGGAGTAATTTTTTAATTGCATCTTTTCCAACAAAGTATGTGTATTCAACGAGCCGAATATCCATGCAGTCTATGCTCCCCTCCGCCATGCTTCAATGCAATGAGCCGAGATACGTTCAGATAGGTTGGTTATGTCGAGTAATGTCATTTTATTGGAAATCTCTTATGGGAAATTAAATACACATAATAATTGTTATTGTAGGATTCGGGAGATGAAGACACCCACCTAAGACGAAAAGAAGGATTATGATCTTGTGAAAAGAGTATCAGATCTAGAAAAGTCAAAGAAAGATAACATAAAAGAGTTGAAAGATAAAGTGAGGAGTTTAGCTTTACAGGCCAACTCAAGCGAGCCTCTAATTCTCCTCACTCTAGACATTTGGCAAATTAGGCGAGATGGCAAAACGATGATGACGCAGAAACATTCGACGAATTAGCGCGAGAAACACAAAGACATCAGGCGTCGATAAATTTTGCCACTCTAACTTTGAATGTATTAGGAGGGAAGCTTCTGATTTAGTAGGAAAAGCTACGGCAAAAGGTCTGAAGGAGAAGGAAGTTGAACAAAATATCACAGGAAATAAAGTTTATCAAATTGAAAAAATGGAAACCATTTCACCTTTGGCTAATGCTTAAACCACTGCTACATGTTTGCCTAAACATTTCATACCTCAGTTGCCTACTGGATGGCAACAAGGAATGTTTCCTTTTAGTACTAGTATGTACCATACCCAAGACCCAAGAAGATTTAGTCCAAGAAATGGCCAGTGGCTGTAGAGAGGAAATTGTTACTTCTGATCACTCTGTGAAGAATTGTGAGAAGATGAAAAACGATAAAGGAAAATAACTGTATCGGTTGTAATATCTAGTTTGTAACAATTTTGATATATAGTTTTATATTGATTTGTGCTTTGAATTATAACTTGTAGTTTTAAAGATTATTAAAGTTTTGCATGAATTTTACCTATGCATTTTTTATATTTATGTTCAAGCCAGCAACTCTGTCCGGGGACACTGATTCCCTAGATATCTTTAGACCACGTGGACTGCAGGTGCTAGCCTTAAACCCTTTCTTTATTTACCTAAGTTGGTTGCTTCCATTATATTTGTATACCATTTTGGTATAGAAATTTGTTCTGTATTCTAGGATGTGAATACACAGAATTATGGTGTTCGTACTCCCTTGCAACATAAAAGGAAGCACCCATCATTGGTAATGTTGGATGGGGACAAGCCAGCAAAAGCAGTCCACCATATCACGATTGATATCTTGAATTAAGTAATAGTTCACGATCTTAAAAATTTTCCTATTCGTGATCCTGACGGTTTTGTATCAGGTGGTATTAAAAATAGTAGCGATAAATGGTTGAAACATTTCGGCGAAGATCTTCCTATACAAATAAAAGGTTAGGTAACCAATGTTGTAGACGTAAGATTTCGTTAAACCTTTTAAAGGCAATTTCAAAGGAAAATCATATGAAGGAAAGACACCACCAAAAGTATATTTCATAATTCTTCCTCTTATCGTTTATTCATACCTTTTATTGAGAACGATGTTACGGAAAGTTAAAATCAGGTTCAATACGACTTTTGGGAAAGCTGGGAGAATGTGTGTTGCCTCGTCTAATCATGCCTTTGAAAATTGAGCCGATTAGATCCCGACTGTGTCACGATGAATGCTTCCTTAATCTATGGATCAAGGATAATCCATTTCAATTAGAAAATCTAAAACATGTGCCCCGAATGGTTTCGGAAAGTTGAAATGATAGCGTTGGATGACAAATCAGGCTACAATCATGTAAAGATTACTAGAGAATCCGAAACGTTTTGCGGTTTTCAGTTTGGTGGCTGGGTATTTTCGTACACAGTACTTCCTTTCGGCTGGAAAGCTTCCACTTTTATTTATCAAGCATCAATTGGTATGCAAGTTACGTCATTCCTCAGGAAGTTTGATATCTTGACTTTACAATACATTGATGATCGGCTATTAATTGCATCTTATAAGCCTCACCTCCCCCATGGAAATATAAACTAAATCAGTTACGCTTTAGTGATTATTTACTAGACTAGGTTATACATTATCCATTCAAAAGAGTAGATTAAACCCTTCCCAGACTATAAAATTTCTAGTTTCTTTATTGACTCAGAACAAAAATGTTTTCGTTTGCCGTCAGATAAGAAACAAACGTTTATAGCATTGAGAGAGCTTATCTTGAAATCTGAGAAGGTCAGCGTGAACACTTTGCAACGGTTTGCAGGTAAATGTGTGTAAATGAACTTAGCTATACCGGCAGCAAACTTTTTTTGCAGAGAGGTCAATGCATTAAAAATTGATGTAAACATTAGTGGTGACCTGAAAAGGAGATCAAACACATGAATCTTCTAAAATTACAACGGTGTTACGCATTGGAGACTGAAATTACACAAACATTTTACCCTAACACCTTCTCCGTTCTCAGCAGGTGTAGATATATATGCACAAGATGTTTGTTTAGAAACGAATTCTAACGTTTACCCGCCTATAAACATTATTTTCCAGCTTTATGATTTTCTGAAAGAACAGCGTGTAAGACAGTGCACTTTTATCGCACTTTTGTGGGATCAAGCACCGATATGGTTACCTATTATAAAGCACCATGTTATATCTTCTTTTGTTTCCGGATTTAAATATCAGAAGGCAATCATTGAAGTGCCCTCCATCCCATTGTTACATATTAGATGATAAAGGTTTGATGTGGACCAAAGTTGCATATAGGTTATCACTTTCATAATGAAATATTTCAGGCTGTGGTTGTTGATCTGAAAAGAATTGATGACAGAATTATGCAACTTCATAATTAATCAATAGATTCATCCCATCGTAGAAGAGAATCTCTTCAAGAAATGTTTTTAGATTTTTTAGATATATTAACACATAAGCCGTGTCTTGACATAGTTTCTCCTCACGATGTTAAGAGACTTCTGGTCGGGAAGATAATAATGGTGAAACACAAATCCACGTTAAATCGTGCATCAATTTGGGTGAAAAGGGTGTTACAGCTTGTCTTTGCCCTATTCGATTGGCTTCAGGAACTGTTGCAAACCTAATTTCATACTTTACTGACATTTTTGAGTCCGTCGGCAGAGGCAGAACTTGGAATGCAGCTTTAAATGCGGACAACCCTGCTGATTCGGAAACAATAAAGCATATTTGAAAGCAGTTCAGGAAGAACAGGCTATAACCCGCATTGTACCAAAACAAGTAAAACCTATTTTTATAAACAAAGTCCGTTCGATAACCGTCTATATAAGTAGGGAATTAAAAAGATGTGGCCTTACTTTGCGGGAAAGATTTGCTGCTTTTTTGAAATTACAGTTTTTCTTATCACAAGAAGTTAAGAAATTGAATGATGATAGTGGTTTGGTATTTATTCTGAAAAGATGCGATGATAAAATTGTTTGTCCTGTTTCTGGGCTTGAGTCATATTATATGTTCATGAAAAATCATGAAATTTCCCTGAAATCTGGCTATCTATTTAGAAGAATTACAGAATCGGGTAGAGTGCTCGAAAAACATGCATCATATTCTTTTATCTATGAGCGTTTCAGGGGTTATCTCACCACACTTCGCATTTTTGAAGGTGAAACTGCACAGAGCATGAGGGCTGTAAGTGCTATCATGCTTGCACTTTCTGATAACAATGCTAATACACAGAGCGTAATGTACCATATAGGCTGAAAATCAGAGAGAATGGCTCATTATTATACTAGGGCGATCACTGTTAAAGATGAAAGTCATGTTGCATGTAATTAAGCAAAGTCCGCAAACTACCAGAATAATAATACTACTCAGTTATTTTTTTAATCCCATTCGCAATATGACGTTTTAAGTGGCATTGTGATGCCATCTTGTTGATAGCTGCACTAAAGTCTGTTGGTGTTAACGCTGAAATAGGACGTATTATCCTTGGTTCTATTTTCAAATGAAGGTTTTTTATGTTCCTTTGTCGATGTAGAAGTCAATTGTTTGTTAGAATCAGATTTTCATGTTTTTAAGTAAATCTTCGAGAGTATGCAGAGGACTTAAATAGGACAATCTATGTTTTGCCATGAAACTATAACTATAACATAATATCAAATATATTCTTGTTTTTAAATGTTTCATACATCGTTTAAAGATATGTACATTATAAGATAAATGAAACATTTGTATAAGGTGGATACTTACAGGAACAATGAACAACTGTGAGAGTTGTAATTCAAAGGTCCAAAAGAAGAATTCCAGGTTACGGTGGATGCACGAAAATGAATTAAGTGCGAATCAGATGATCCAAAACTGGACGCTTTATCTAAAGGGATCGAAGCTGATCGGTGATGCATTCAGAGGCACATTCACGAATTTACGATGTACAATGAGCACACGGGTTTTTCAACCCTTTTAATACGCCAGAGGGTGTTGATGCTTTATCTTCATTTTCCCGTTAAATATTATGTTGTTCCAGAAAAAAAGTTGTAGACAGTATTGTTTTCATATGTCTATCTAAAGAATTGAAATTCACAGCAAAACTTCGAATATCACATATATCCATTACACATATATCATTCACAAAACATGGGAGTTGAGTAATCACAAATCTGTCCTTCTTTCCTTTGGTAATAATATAACAAATGATGATGAAAATCTCCCGTTTTATACTAGATTTTTAAACTTCAAACAAACCTATAAAGAACGATTAATAGCAATGAGGTATATTCAAACAGTGGGGTCAATAAGATATGAATTCGTAAAATGTTAAACGCCTACTACACAATCTGCAATCATAATCATAAACTTCTGTGAAATTCTGCTAAAAATAGTAAAACTAGTGATTGTTCTACGATTTGCAATACTATTCTCAAATCTCAATCGAAGGTTCGGATACATCCTCTCATTAAACAAAGCTTTAACTATAAAATTGGAAATTGTAGATACACATTTGTTGTTTTAGGTCAGGAAAATTTTTTACATTGTAAAGAATTGCACTGATTCAAATATCAAATACATCAAAGATGATATCATAAAAATGCTGCAATTATTGATCGACAACATAAGTCTTGTGTTAGTGGATTGTAACTTGTTTTTGTGATCATATGGAGCAGTTCATACAAAACCTTCCTAAATACAGCAAACAGGCATCTTGCAAAGAGATGCAAAAGATACCAAAGGGACCTTGAAACTCATAAGTCGAAAACAAGCTAACAACGCCATGGCAAAAAACGAAAAAAAGACCAAAATTCATACAACAGCATACAAAACCTAGAAAACTATAAACTGAAAAACTTGAATCCAACCAAAAAGTGCTTCGGATGGGTTAAGTGTGTGTGTCATTTAATCTTTCACTAGGCCAAGTTTCATGCTTTACCATAAGTGTCTGTGGAAAACAATTTTTCAAAATCTAAATAAAAAAAAGGTTTTTGACTATTTGCAAAGTTCTTAATTTCACCTTTAGATACTAGTAAAAAGAGGATGTCAAGTCACTTAATAAACCACATTTCAGTGCGTGCTTTGCATCTCATATGCCTCAATGAACTTGAGATTAGGGAAACCTCTGAAAGCAAAAGATCTGATTCATATTTTGATCTGTTCCTCGATATTGACACAGATAGACGACTTCAAACTAAATCCTATGACACATGGTCATTTCAACTTTCCAATTGTCAATTTACAATGTCTCAGCAATAACTTATCCTCTTGCCAATCGTTAGTCGTTTGCATGTCTGAATAGATGCATTGCCCTCGTGCATGTCCCCGCCGTCGGATCTTCATAAACAGGGCTAAGCTCTTAACATAAACACTGCTTCAACAGAGTATAAATTTGCTGAATTATAATAAGAATAGATATATTTCTGATACAAGGTTAAACAATTTCAGTAATTTTGTTGGCTGTTGTTACGTCAGTTTAAAAGGTAGTTATATAACTATTGTATGTTACTATGAAACCTAT